TAAACTTCCAGTTATAAAATAAAAAAGTCCTGGGAGTGAGATGTACAACATGGTGAATGCAGCTAATAATACTGTCTGGCATATTTGAAAGTTGCTAAGAGGCTACATCTTTAAAGCTCTCATCACAAGAAAAAAAATGTGTAACCATGGATGGTGACAGAAGTTCACTAGACTTATTTTGATCATTTCACAATACACACCAATACTGGGTCACCATTTTGTACAGCTAAAACTGGTATGGTGTTATATCTCAATTACACCTCAAAAATACTTAGTTATGTTTTTAAAGGAGTGTAAAGTGTACAATTACTTGAAGTTTAGTAAAAATATGTTTTCCTCATTATACTAAATATATTAATATCATAATATTATTAAAAGGTTATTATACTTGGAGGATATTTCTCTGTTTATTTGGGTCATTGTATAAAATTATTAAGCCTACCATATAGAATGTGAATCTGTATGGCTTTTATTTTTCTCTTCTATTTATGTTGAATATCAATGCTACACTAACCCCAAAGTTCATGTTATTCAGGCCTCTTCATAGGTGGTAAGTACACATTTAAAATTGTATTAACTTATACTTTTATAGCAATTTCTTTTTACCGTGCACCGTTGTGGGCATCAGCCCTCTGGCTTGTTGCAAGGCTGTGAGGGAGACAGGGTGTGATCAGTTTTCAGTGATTTGTAATCCTTTTAAAGTTAAAGAAACAGTCCCATTAGATCACTTGCCCAAAGTCAACATTTGCCCGCAGAGTCTAAGAATAGCCTCTTTTGCCCGCACCACAGAGCATCTCTAGGAATGATGCTACTGAGAAATGGGATGTGCCTTTACCTGAGCAATGGGAATGGAGGATGTGAGTTAGTACGGTCCCTGCTTTTTCTGCATCCTACATGAGACACACGCAGCTTGTCAGCCTCTCATCCTTTTAGTTAACTCCCTTATTTCATCTAATCTTTCCTCAAACTAAGCAGGTATCACAATGGAACAATAGAAAGGGGAAATTAAAATATTTTTGCATATTTATTACCAGTTTACCTTCTCCAGTGTATAAATTTTTAAAGGTGTTATTATGAAAGATCTTAAAATAAAATAGTAAATGTGTATTTTTAATACGACAGAATTACGATTTTTAAAAACGGAATTATACTTTCTTAGTATGTGATTTTTTGTATGTGTGTGTTCATCATTAAACTGTATATATATTTTTCCTACTCTGAAAAGCTGTCTTGCTGCAAGTCCAGTTCTGTTTTACTTTTATCCACAGGGAAGTCATAATCCCCTTCTTAAATAGAAGCTGGTTACCATGGAAATCATTCTAATGCCAGTGAATCAATATTTTGATTTTGCTGACATTTAATGTAAAAAGAAAAGACAGACCAAGATTTATAAAAGTCATTTTTCATCTTTGTTATAATTTTGATAGCTAGAAAAATTGTAAAGAAAACATATGCTCTGTAATGAACTCCAGTTAACTCACAATTATAAAGGACTGAGAATTCATAAAAGAACAATCTACATATTTATATAATTTTGGCTTTGAGTACACACATATGCATGCACGCCTTCGGACTCAAGATTTTTTTCATCTCTGAACTAAGCCCTGATTCTCTCCTGTTATTAAAGTCATAACTTGGTAGAAGAGATTTGCATGTATCCAGTTTTTCAATTGCTTTTTGATTAAGCGTTCTGAAGAGAAGGTGAAATTTGCATTGAGAATCACTCTTCCTTAGAAGTCGACCATCTCTGCACCAGATCTTAACAGTCCGTCTGGTCCACTGACCATCCACAAAGACGCACTACAGCTGAAGGCTCCTTGCCCCATCCTTAGAGCTCCTTTTGAGGACAGATGTTGAAATTGAACCGAGTGTTTAATAAATCTCACTGCCCGTAGTTTTCCAAATCTGAGATAAGACTTTCTGCTGCTGCTGTAATTTAGTCTCTGTCTCCTCTTCTGTCCTCAGAAGAAATAAAGATAACAGAGCTGCTGTCTTCTGTTTGATAACTAGTTGTTTAGAACCTTAGATCTTTAGATGGTGAGGGATCTGGAAGAATTCTGAGCTTCTCTACTTCAGGAATTGGTTATTTCAAGCATCTCAAAGGAATGGTAATCACTTATATTTTTAAGACAACCAAATCACCACTCAAATGTTTCTTCTGTGGAACAGTCATGATTTTCCACATGTGTCCACTTTGAATACCCCAGGTTCCCCTCCTTGGAGGGCGGGGCTATTCTGAGACATGTATATTGCACTGCATCCAGGAATGTTTCCAGCAACCTCACACACAGCTCGATAACACACTTCTTACTGGCTGCTGGTCTTGGCTGTTTCATTTTACACAATCCCCCCACCCCACACCCGCCACATGGTTATTTTATTCTTGAATCATTCTAGAGAATATTCAGACCCTCATCATTCTGAGACCACTGTTCTAAATCAGTAATCTGCTTTTGAAAACAATCTAATGTAATCAATTATGTAGTTTTCTGGCAGTAAAAATAGAAGAGAGGTTGCTTCTGGAAACAGGATTACAGAATATGAATTAAAATGAAAGGCACCATGTATCACTATCCGAGGAAACTTAGGAACAACATTTAAAATTTACAAAAGGCAGATCTCTAGAGCTCTTTAGCTTATTAACAGGTAAATAAAGCACCTAAATTGTTTCTAAAACGTCAGTGTGTTATAAGCTGAAAGACATACTGATGACCCTGAATCACGAGAATAAAGGATCAGATTTCTAATCCATTCCAAGGCAGCCGAGGAGCAGTAAAAAGAGTTACCCAAATAAACAGATGCACACACACACACACACACACACACGCATTCAAAGCAGTGCCATTCATTGTAGCAAAACAAACAGGGACCAACCTAAGTATTCACCAAAGAGATAATGATTAAATAAAGCACCACGATGTACATGCCCCTCCTTAAAAACGGTGTTCCCCACAACAAACTAAATGCTATGGAAAGCGTCACAAGAAAATAAGGGAAAATACAAAACACAAGATTCTATGCACTAGGACTTCAATTTTGAAAATATGCATACACACGTTATTCACATATGTAACTCACCTCACGTACACGCATATACTCATGATGTGTTTTCACATATATGTGAAGTAGGAAAACCTGAGCCTAAGTGGAGATTTTCCCGGGAGAATGCAAGGATTAACTCCATCTCCAGGAATTTATTTGTATTCTTCAATAGGCTATGAAGTTTTTGGTTTTTGACTATATAGGCACTTGGATACCGATTTGGGAGAAAGGAGAGATGACGGTATTGGAAGAGACGGGACATGCCTCGTGGGCAACCATCTCATGCACTAGGTTTGAGCTTCTGTGAAAGGCTGAGAGGAGAGGATGAGGGAACTTTCGTGTGGGACCCAGGAGTCCAGGTGACAAAGCAACCTGCCCAGTTGAGGAAAGGACCTGCCTTCCACTCTCTGCTGCAAGCCACTGGGAACCTTGGAACGCTGTGGGCTCGGGGGAGCCAGTCGGAAAGAATGTTAGGGACAAACAGGGTAAGGAAGCACTATGGGACCTGGCAGAGCCACGCTCTCAAGCTGGCCACTGGCAGCACTGGACACCCTGAAGCATCTTCCACACCTGATGCACAAAACTCCGAACAGGTCTATATCAAAGCACACATGGGACTTCTCGCCGACCAAGAGACTCCTCGGAAAAAACTCAGGAAAGCTGAAACTTATTTATTCAAGCAAGGCTAAAGGGCTGGTGACTTCTGGGGTTAACCTGACCTAACTTATAATCATAGACCAGCAAGGAGGTTAAGATATACTTTATGCATGTATTTCATAACTGAGGAAAAATATAAGTAGAAATAGAAGATACCACTCAGCCATAAAAAAGAATAAAATAAAGCCATTGCAGCAACATGGATGGACCTGGAGTTTTTCCTACTAAGTGAAATAAGCCGTAAAGAGAAAGAAAAATACCATGTGATTCACTTACATGTGGAATCTAAACAAATGACATAAATGAACTTGTTTATAAAACTGAAATAGACTCATAGACATAGAAAATAAACTTATGGTCACGGGGCAGGGGGCATAGAGGGATAAACTGGGAGTTTGGGATTTGTAGATACACACGACTATATATAAAATAGATAAACAACAAGGTCCTACTGTATAACACAGGGAACTATATTCAATACCTTGTAATGGCCTATAATGAAAAAGAATATATATATAGAGAGAGAATATATATATGGTATATACATATATATACATATATATATGTATATATATGTGTGTGTATATATATATATACAGCTATATACATATATATATATATGGCTCTCCCTCTCTCTCTATATATATAGATATATGTATATAGCTGAATCACTGTGCTGTACACCAGAAACTAACACAACATTGTAAACTGGCTATACTTCAATTAAAAAAAAGATAAAAGAAATTGAAGTAGAGATATGAATATATATATATATATATATATATACACACACACATACATACATGAATGCATGTATGTATATACTACACACACATATCTGCATAAATCCATATTCACTGGAAGGAAGTATACCAAAATGTAAAACAAAAAATTTATTTCTAAATTTTCCTTCGTTATATTTTCCCACATTACAAGGTCCCCTCATAATCACATGATATGTCTATAATTATACAAGTTAATAATAATAAAAGCAAGAAAATATAAATTTTAGATTTATTTCTAGGCAAACTAATTTCCTAACGATGCATAACTTTAAGGAGGGGGTCAGAAAACTCACATATCGCCTTTCCTTTCTAATGATACAAACGATACACGTTTTGGGGGTTGTCACTGGACAGCACCCCAATGAATAGCCATCCCCCTGGATTCTTCTTTCCTAAGACTTCAGGGAGGGGGAGGCAGGGTTATGGGACCCGCGGGGGAGGCAGATGCGGGCTAGCACGCGGACCCGAGCGCGGGGTCTGAAACCTCCTTCCCGGCCGGGCGGAGGCGGGCTTTACCTTCGGTCCGCTCGGCGCCTTTCCCGCTCTTACTGGCCGCTGTGCTGTTGACCGTCTCCGACGACGTGCTCAGCTTGGTGCTGGGGTCCCGCTTGGGCTTGGGCGGTGGCTGTCTCCGGGAGCCACAGCTGCTGTCGTCGTCGGTGCCCCCGACCGAGTGCAGCGACTGCGACCTGACGGAGAAGCCGCCGGAGCAAGGATGCGCGAGCCTGTCCTGCGGAGCGGGCATCGTCATGAATCCCATGCGGAAGTGTTTGCCCACGTAACTGCCCTCGTGGCCTCGCCCCACGTCTCCACCGATGCTGTAAGAGAGAGACGAAATCCGGGCGGAGTGAGCCAGGCTGTGCCAGGTCCTGGGGACGAGCATGTTTGTAACAGTGGCTAGATCACAATTTAACCTTAGACTGGTGAGGAAACGCTTCCATTAGCATGAAAAGGTTCTGCACTTTTGCATTCAATAGGACAGTCAAGCAAGTGTAACTTGATTATAACCAGAAATCCTGATCTACGTATCCAGATACTCTCAAAAGAGTATGTAAAGGGGGGGTGGGGTGGGGGTGGGAAGCTACCACAAAGCACATCTTCAATTGCTTTTCTTTGCTTGGAGGTAAATCTTGTCGGTGGTTGAAAAAGTGAACAAGAATTCCATGACAATGACCCATAGACTGCTTTTTGACACATGACTGAGGTCAAGTGGGCACTTGAAACTCCTCTGCTGCACTGCATCAAGATCCTCCCTACTTTTACCTGCTTAATATAGAGGGAAAACAAGACACACAATATCAAAGGGGTTCTGGTTACCAATACAGGGGATGAGGGGATAAAGAGAGGAAGTGGGAGGGAGGGGAAGGAAGGAAGGGAGGGAGGGAGGGAGGAAGAAAGAGGAAAAATATTTGCTTAATCAGTAAAAGAATTGTCCATCTCTCTTAGGTTTCCAGAGTTCCTTTGGTGACACTAGTAACTTGGTTCTACTAATAAATTAGCCTCGCAGAATAAGATAGCAACATCTCATGAAGAGGTGTCGTTAACATATCACCTGATTCAGGAATAGTTCTAAATACTTCATAAATATTCAGAGTATGCAAAGTTTCCAAATGTAAGGCTCTTAAATTTTACATAGGAAACTTTGAACAAAAAATTTAAAATATGTAAGAACTGTCTTTCAGTTTGAAATTCAGCTCATCGTACAGGAAATGACTCTTGGGCCTTCCTCTATGATGCATCATGTAATGGTGACTCTTTTATGAAGAAAAGGAACATGAATGTAAATGTGAGTTCTTACATCTTTCTAGAGTTTTCCACACTTATGCTCATTCACCAGTAAAAGAAACAAAATGAAGCACTGTTAGAAATTATTTGGTTAATTTTCTTAGACATGTATGAAGTGTAAACATTATCTCTGTGTATATGAATTTTGGAAGCCTGTTGAGTCTACCTTTCCAGACATGAGTTTGTTTAGGCTTCTTTTTAATCTTAATTTATCTGGCTCTTCATCATAGCTTTCATGTCACTATAATGTTCGTCATACATGTTAGATTTCAGTTGGAACAATAACAGTAAATGAGTCTTTTTTCCCTCTTCAGTTAAGGAGTTATGACAATTCTATGACCATTGTGAATAGAGTCAGAAAGGATCCAACAAGAACGTGAGACTTTGATTCTGGCATTTAATTCTGATCACAGCTTTGCTGCTTAATCAAAAATGGTTTTTATATTTATTTTTTTCCTGAATATTTTGAATTGATATTCAGATACTAGGTAGACTATCTTTGGAAAAACTAAAATAAAATAAATAAAGGACTCTCAGTGTACTAACCAGAGCAGTGGGTATCCAGAAGCATGAATGAAATCAAGCCAATGGCTAAGTGGAGGTTTCCACATCTTCATGGTCAGCGTCCTAAATCTGTGTAGTGGTTTTCTGCATTTCATTTTCTGTACTTTCTTCAAGAACATCAATCAAGAAATTTACTAGAAGCTTACTCAAATGGATTGATTTGTGAAAAACTCGTTAAGAATTTAAGGCAAAATGGGGTGGTGGAGGTGGAGATGGCTGTGATAAAATGGGGAGGTTTACCATTGATTGGTGGTAATTGTGATATTTTATTTCCTCTAGCTTTGTCTCAATCATCTTGCCTGTCTTTTCCTTACTTCTGCTGCCCTACCACTGAACAAAAGGTGCTTGGGAACTTATGTAGACAGTCACTCTCACATATCAAATCCACATGAGGGGATTCATGCATGTGTTAATGCACACATGCATTTATGAGAGACTTACTAGGAATCATTGCATCAGCAATTTCTCTGTTATTTTTTACCTAAATAGGAACTTGCTGTTTTTCCCAGACAGATAATTAGCTCTGCTGCTTCATTTCAAAATTACATTTTTTCCAGCATCAGTTTCATCCTTTTGTTCACATATGTAATGTATACACACACAGATGCACACATACACATGCTTTTTCCAAAGAGAAATGCAACGTATGATTTAAAGAATAGCAGGTCTTGGGTACAAGTTTCATTTGCCCAGGCTGTGGATGCAGGATGAAGAAATGGTTCAGGATGATTTGGGTACAAAGGCCCTTATTTAAGGCTAGGGGTGAGCAATAAAGATTATGGCACAGCTGGGTCCAAGAGACCAGCAAAGACAATTAGTCCAAAGCAAACTGAAGATTTTGGAACATAGCACACAACTAATTCCTGAATTTACTGTAGGACCATGTGGAGTTTTTAAAATATGCAAATTCTTGGACCCATACTAAGGACAACCACCAAATCATATTTGTTGAATCAGAATCTTTGTAACCGATGAGTTTGTTTCTTAAAAAATGATATCCAACTATTTCTGATGTAGCCAATCCAGAGACACTGCCCCTGCTCCCCCGCCAGAAACGTTAAGAACAACAGTTAGAGACATTGATGAGGAGACATCTGTTAGTGAGAAACAGCCAGGGAGACTCATCATCAGAAAGTGGGACAAAGGAAGCTTGTCAGAGATCAGGCAAAATATCACAGATAAGAAAAGGTACAATGTATTAGTCAGATCTTGTGAGGTTATCCTGGAGTAACAAACAATCCCCAATTCTTAATGACTTTCAGCAACAAAGGTTTATTTCTTGCTTGAAATCTTTGGGTTGATTTTGCATCAGCCGTGGCTCTATTCCACGTGCTGTCTTCATTCTAGGATCTAGCCACCACTGGGGTATGTTCTCACAGAAGGGAGAGAAAAGTACTCACTGAAACACACAGTATCTCTTAAAGCTTCTGCTCAGATGTGGCATATAATCTTTTGCTCACATTTCATTGGCTAAAACCAGACTCATGGCCAAGCTTGATGTCACTGTGGTGGCGATAGATTGTCCTCCAACAGGAAAACCCTGTAAGTTACATGACAATATGCGAGGAAGCATAATCCTCTTCCAGGCAGGTGACCACGTTCTGGTATGGCAGCTGTGGCATATGCCTCTGAGCTCTCCTTTCAAGAGGGAACTTGACGTTAGGAGTGAAGGTAACCAACAACCAGTGACCCACTGGGGGAGTTTGTGCTTCCTGTCCTCATAATTCTGGTCTCTACCAAGTTAGAAGTCCTGGTCCCCTACGAGGGCACACTCTTTCCAGAAGACACAGCAAGGCTCCTATTGAACAACAAACCTATAGCTCCCCTCTAAGGAATTTGAACTCCTTTTGTATAGTGGCCAGCAGGCAAGAAGACAAGACTCCACTGTGGAAGAGATCATTGACCCTGATCAGTAGGAGAAGGCAGAGCTGCACTTATAAGATGGGGCAGAGAGAAAGATGTGCGGGGCCCCTCTTGACACTCCTTCGCCCATCTGGGACTTTGCAAGGTCACAGGTGGCCACCTGGCTCAAGAAGGCCTTTTTTTTTTTACCAGAGGTTCCAACCTCTCATAAACTGAGCTAACCCTCACCACCAAGTAAGCCACTGAGACCAGCAGAGATGTCAGCTGAGGGTGAGAGAGAGGGGAATTTGGAATAAATGTTGGAGGAGGGAGATGACGAGTATCAGCTGCAGCACATATATGAACAGTAGCGGTGGGGGTGACAGTTCATCACACCAGTGGCCCCCTTGTACATCTCCCCTCAGGAAGCGTCCGACAGGAGCCATGAAAGAGCTGGTCCCCAGACCTGCAGAAGAGCTTCTGCTGGGCATAAAGGGTGAAGCTGTGTGGATCAGATATCCCTAAACAGAGAAACTTCTTTAAGGACAGGAGTTAGCTGACAGCCACCAGCCACAGAGTCTTCCAGTCTGGTTCAGCATTTTAGTCAAGGCCTGGGGAGCTCCTAACCAGTAGCTGAGCATGAGGAAGTATAGGACCCGGCTACTTCTGCCCAGCAGGGAGTCCTTTATGGGCCATCTTCGTGTCTCTAGTTCTGCTGTTAAGCTGGCTGAGACTCTCCCACAGCTACACCATGGTCCGAGACTCTGCCATCCAACTATTTTTCCCTTCCCCCTCTTCTTTCACAGGTGTCATGCTGCCTGAGGCCTGAGGCTCTTCCTGCCTATTCCTGCTCCCTCCTCGTCCCAGACATCCTCCTCTCTCCCTCAACAAATCTCTCACTCTTTAAATTCCATCCAGCTTGGGGTCTGCTTTCTAGGGGGCTATAAATGGACATACTTGGGAACAATCATACAACCTATGACATCCAGAAACCAAAGAAGCAGGGAAGAGAAAGCCAAATAACAAAAATGAGACCCCAGAAATAAGAAATGCCTGTGAAAGCAGGGCATTCTCTTGCTTCAGACTGAGCACTTAAATGGTGGTCGGGGAAGCGGGACCAACAACTCCACTACAGGAACACTTGGCGTGCAGTGAAATTTATGTGGGCTGGAGCAAGCGGAGCCTTTTTGCAGTAAGACTCTCGCTCTCAAGATAGACTAAGCCTGACACAGCTCATGTTATAAAAATAAAAATAAGTTTCATAATCCTGAAGTTAAACAAGTACACTTCTCCTCACAAAACGAAGGTAAGGTTCAAGATCTACTTGTCTGTTGGATGTTTTTTTATTACAAAATCAAAAATAAAGTATCGCTTAAACGGAGGTAGGTTATTTTCCCAGAAGGAATTGATAAAATACTTGTAAGTGTTTCCTCCAAGCAAGCTATTGGCTAGTGGGCAGGCCTGGACGTTTGTGCTCTGGAGTCACTGAGTTGTGGTTCCTATTCTCAGCTCAGTCCTTTAGTACTTCTGCGTTAGCTACTGATCCCAAACACCATTTCCTTAAGTCGTAAATAGTAGTACTGCCCTCGCAGAATTGTGATCAAGTTTACCTGAAATGCTACATATG